CTCCTATCTCTCTGAGTGGAGCATAGCTTTTCTACCAGTCTCTCCTAGAGCGGCAGTGTGTGTGGTCAGCATGGGCTCTGGAGCCAAGTCCCCACCCTGCCACTTGCTAATTTAGTAACCTAAGGCAGATTGTTTAATCTCCCCATCTGTAAAATATGGGTAACAATATGGTCCCTGTCAGGTCTTTGTGATGACTGAATGAGTTAATGCATGAAAAGCGCTGAGAAGAGGGCCTAGAAGTTGAAAGTCGGCTATTATTATTAACATAATCAGGAACAACGTAATTGTTTTAGTTCTTGTGTTAGGAAAATGCAGTTTGAAATGTGAATTTTTCTTATCCATAGGTGTATGTACTCCATGCCTTCACAAGGTCTGTGAGTGGAGAAACTTGCTGAGATAGCTTCTAAAATATCTTCCAAGAATACTCACCCACTATCGTGCCTGAGAATTTACCACTAGGAGGTTCTTTATAAAATGTTCATACTCTAGGAAGAGGGAACATGGTTTTTTAGCTATAAGCATCTCAGCATGAATTAATTTACCACAGTGGGCAGGAAGGACTGGGCTGAGCCAAGGAAATGCAATGTTGGACAGGTGAGAGAAAGGTTCTAGCTTAGAATGTTGTCTATTGGGAGAGTGGAGTCTTCCCTTTGGGAACTAGGGATCATTTTGGAAAGGGGAAATTAGTTGAAGAGGAGAGCGGCCCAGAGGAGAAGAGAGAATTGTTTATTTAATTTTGCTTAGGGCCAACCTTGTTCATGAAAAGTTGCTGAAATGGTTTAAATAAAACTGCAGTCTGTCCTGGCCATTGTAGCTTAGTGGTAGAGCATCGGCCCGTGCACCCACGGTCTAGGTTTCGATTCCGGTCAAGGGCACATGCCTAGGTTGTGGGTTCGATCTCAGGGCATGTGTGGGAGACAACCAATCGATGTGTCTCTCTCACATCAGTGTTTATCTTTCTCTTCCTCCTTCCCTCCCTCTATTCCACTCTCTCTAAAAATCAATGGGAAAAATATCCTCCGGTGAGGATTAACAACAACCACAACAAATTAAATAAAACTGCAGTCAAGCCATAATTGTTTGACCCAATTTGCCTAAAAAATATTAAGGCTATAAGCCCTAATACATTTTATGTAAAATGTTTACTGATACTAACATAGAAGAAAAAATATTTTGATATATAATATGTTTACATATATATTTCCCTTTTTGTTTGAAGTTAAAGCTGACAATGGAATTCATGACTCTCTTGGGGTGCTAATTTCTAGGCAGCAACTGTTTATATGATGTGGGGTGCCTGTGCCAAATCATTGCACATTTACAGCCCTGTTGATGGGGTTTCCCCCTAGAGAGGACATAGTTCATTGGAGCTTTAGTGCAGACACCAGCACAGGCAGGTAAAATGTTTTTGTAATTGCCACTAGGAAGAAGAGAGGGCCCAAGGGTTCTTTTTCTGCCCAAGAGAGCTCCTCCCTTGTTAGAACTTAATTTGTTGTGTGTATGTGGACCAGATGGGTGGAATTAAACCTTCTAAGGTGTTGTGGTTAGATTGTTTTAAAATGTCTGGAGACTCCAGGAAATGTGAGAAATCACATTTCTTTTTCAAAGGACCATCCTTTTGTGGTTCAAATGTGGGCTTTTGAAACTGAAACTATAGCGCCCCTGGCTATAGGGTGGGGGTCTGTTTTCCTTTTCCTCCTATTGGGGTGTATATGAATTTCTTGACTTAATTAATGTTGGTGTTTTGGTAAACATGGCTCTAAGGTAGCCAGAGAGGGGACTAGAAGCTACTTAGTCATTGAAGGAAGTCCTTGCCTTCTACATATTGTCTACCCTGAAGAACTGGCCTCCCCAGTCTTCCTGCTACAGTCCTTCAGAGCATTCATATATCTGCCTGCCTGTGGTGTTGTAGAAGTAAGCTGTAGAAAAAAATCTCAGGAGGCTGCTTACGTGTGTGTGTGTGTGTGTGTGTGTGTGTGTGTGTGTGTGTGTGGTGTGAAAGAGAACAAAATATTGATCTAAAATGAACTCTGAAACTGAGGAAATATAAACTGTGTGTGATATTGTTCCCTGAAGAAGTTAGCCCAAATGCAGTTTCTTTTCCATTGTAGGTACTGAATTATCTTGAAACCGAATGTGCCCCAGTGGTAAAGGAAGTTAAAGAGATAAGTCCCCTCATTCTCCCTGGGGAAAGAAAAAAACACATATCTACATTTGGAACACAATGTATTGCTCTTTTTTTTTTTTTGCTTAGCTTTAAGAAAAGTCTAATGAGGTTGGAGCCAGTCAAGAAAATAGCTGAAATAATCAAAATTAGGGCTTCTATGTCCCTTCCATCAGGACCTACTTACATGGCAAATTCTGCAGCCTAAACAGTAGGATTATGTTATGGGTGAATTGTGTCTCCCCCCAGCCCCCTAAAATTTATATATTGAAGCCCTGACCCTCAGTAGCTCAGAATGTGATTACATTTGGAAATAGGATCTTGATAAAAGGCACATAATTAAGTACTATGGGGTCATTAGAGTGGGCCCTTATCCAATGTGACTGGTCTTATAAAAAGTGATTAGAACACAAAGGGAGAGACGGACACCAGGCACATGCACACACAGAGATGATCATGTGAATGACACAGGGAGATGATGATCACCTATAAGCCAATGAGAGAGGCTTCAGAAGAAACCACTCTGCCAATACCTTGATCTCAGGCTTCTAGCCTTCAGAACTGAGAGAAAACAAACTTCCGTTGTTTAAGTCACCCAGCCCATGCTCTTTTGTTATGGTAGCCCTAGCAAACTAAGATATGGACAGATGAGCACAGATATGGACAAATGATAAAGAATTATGAAGGGTCTAGAAAAGGAAGTGATTATCTCAAGATACCCTCAGGTCAGGGTTTCTTAAAGCAGCATCTGTATACTACCTGTATCAGAAACACCTATGATGCTTTTTACAAAGCAGGTCCCCAGGCCCCTCTGGACCTAGAGTTTTAAAATGAGGCCCAAGAATCTGTCTTTTCCATAAGACACCCCAAGTGATTTTTTTTGCACACTACAGTGTGAGTGAGACCCACCGTACAAGGTCCTGCCCAGCTTCTGGCTCTTTCCTGGGCCTACCTGTCTGGTACTAATACCATCTCAGCAAGTGCTGGTGTGTCTGGCACTCTGGCAGATGCTCTGTGGTCCAGGAACCAGGTATATATTCCACTGTAGATTATATCTCTCCAGGTGTCAGCCAGTGTTTATCAGCATGTGGAGAATGCTGGATAGGATGGACCACATGGAATCCTTAGGGAGTTTACTCTTGGTTCTTAGAAGAAATATGTGCCTCACCTATCTTTTTAAATAATGATCTACAGTACCTATTTCTATCATGAACTTTATTTAAAGAAGATATTACCTCGGCACCTAAATTCTCAGAGGGAATACAGGCCATAGAAAGAGTATATCTAACTTTTGCTATCCATCAGTAGAACTTATATGGAAATTTCTCTGACAGGATCTGGTGCCTTTTTACGCCTTGTATAGTAAATATAATATTAGTGAAATAGAGCAATAACACATACAAATAAATAATAATAAATGGAAAGGCATCTAGTAAATTACTGCAGCCAGGCTCTGTGCTTTCTCGAATTTCTTCATTTCCAAAGGGAATGGGAATGGAAAGTATTCTTTCATATACTAGTAGCATAAGGTGAATTTTCTTTCCCTCATCTGTGAACCAAAGAGAACTGAAGCTAAAGAGAGAGAGAAATAGTTGAGAATCCAAAGCAAACACAGTGACAAATATTTTCAAAGTAGGCAGGATAGGTGACATTTTGATTTAAATATGACAGTTCCCTAGAAAATTGTAAAATCTGCCCCCTTCCTCATTTACAAATGTGACTGCAGGCTACAACAAGCTTTTGTAAGTTTATTTTTATTTATTTATTTAAAAATAGTTTGTTTTTTTAATTGATTTCAGAGAGGAAGAGAGAGGGAGAGATAGACATCAATGATGAGACTCATTGATTGGCTGCCTCTTGCACGCCCCCTGTTGGGGATGAGCCCCCCAACCTGGGCACGTGCCCCGAGGGGAAATTGAACCATGACTTCCTGGTTCACAGGTCAACGCTCCACCACTGAGACAGGCTAGTCGGGCCACAGGTTTCTTTTTCAAACTGGAATGTAGACAGGCCATTTGAGAATGTCCAGGTGGGCAGGTCTTTGGGCTGGTTCTCTGTTCTCCTCTGGCGGTACCCCCTTGAAACAGGAGGCAGCTGGTGCCCACCTGTCCAGGGTTACCTGTGGCCGGCATTTCTTCATCACCTAATGGCAGGCCCTGCCGACTAACTGCACGTTCGTGTCTCTGTGTAGCCTACTCATTCCCACTGGACTTCTATTTCTGACCGGGTGGGGATGGGAGGATGAATGGCAAATGGCAGTTGTGCTTCGGGTGCTTTCCAGAAACAAGAATTCTGGCACTGGAGATAAATTGATTTTAAACTCTAGACCTTAATCGTCCGGAGAGGTTCAGAAGGGAAGCCCCGAGAGCCACCGGGCTTCCCGAGGCAAGAGGGGAGGGAGGACGCGCGCACTCTTCAAGGAGACAGCCTCCGGCGTGGCCGTGACCGCGACCGCTGTCAGAGGCGCCCGAACAATGCGCGGCGGCGGGCCGGGCTGAACCGGGCTCTCCACTTGGACCCACGCGTCCCTCGTGTGGCGTAAGGATGGGGCTCGTTCCTAGCCGTTCCCGAGCGGCCCTTCTCCTCCGACCCGGCCTCGGCAAGGTCTCGGCCTGAGGCCAGGCAGCCCCACGGGCCTTGACCCTGGGACCAGCGGGCTCGGGGGCGCGGCGGCGGCGGGCCGAGCGGGCCGGCGGCGGCGGCGCCTTCATTAGAGGGCGCTCTGGGGGCGGCGGCGCCGCAGTCCGGCTCCCGCCGCTTCCTCCCGCCTCCCTTCCCCACCAGCCGGCGAACGCGATCGGGCCGTGGGGACCGCGTTTCCGCGCCGCCAGGGACGGGCGCGGGCCGCGCCGCAGCCAGAGGAGCGGGTCCGGGTCGCGCCGCCGCCTCCTTCCGCCGGCCGCGCCGCCGGCCATGCATTCTTCCGGCTCCTCCGGCTCCCGCAGCCCGGGCGGGGGCTCGGCCAGCCCGAGGTAACCCGGCTCGGCGGGCGCAGGCCCGGGGCTGCGGCGGCGCCGGGCCCGGGGAGGCGCCGGGGGGTGGGGAAGGGGTGTCGTGCGGCTGGGAGGCGGCGGCCGCGGCGGCGGCAGCACGAGAGACCCAGGGCGCGGTAGGCCCCGAGGAGGAGGCGGGAGCGCGGGGCGTCCGCCCGCCTCCCCGGGACCCGCCCCGGTGACAGGTCCGGCCTCTGAGTCCCCGCCGTCCCTCTGTCCGCAGGCAGCCGCGAGGGCAGTAAGGCGCCCGCTCGCGCCGCGCCTGGGCCGCCGCCGGGTCCATGACCGCGACCCCTCGTCCGGGGACACACGCCGCCGCCGCCGCCGCCGCCGCGCACTCGCGCGCCCAGGGCCGCCGGTCCCCGGCCCCGCTCGCCCCCGCGCTCCTGCGCCAGCCGGCCGCGCACGCCGAGGTGAGCCGGGCGCGCGGGCCGACACCGCCGCCCCGACCCCGTCCCCACCCGCGGAAACCGCTGCGGGCTCCACCCGCCAGCCGGGCGCAGTCGTCGCCCCCGCCTCCCCGCTCCTTCCATCCTCCCCCGCGCCCGGCCCTCTCCGCTCGGGGACTTCATCCCCTCCATCCCTTGACCCTCGCCTTCCCCTCCTCCTGCCCTTCCTCCTTCTCGCTGTATTACCCCCCATTTGCTTTCTTCTCACCTTTCTGCCCCCTTTCTGGCCCCCCCTCCTTTCTTTCTTAAAAAAGGAAAACAAAAGCCCCCTTTGCGCAAATGAGCGTTTTTTAAGCGGAACTCCTTTTGCCAACGCGAGAGACTGATTCTGTGCATGAATGGTGTTGGAGAGGGTACCGGGTCTCCGGAATCTGGGAAATCTGATCGAGAGGTGCCAGCCTTCTCGCCACTCGTGTCCTCAGTTGGGAGAGCCTGAGGGTGGCAGAAGCAAGTGGGTCTGTCTGTCTGTCGGTCTGAGTGTCTAAAACAGAAGACTGCAGTGAGGCGCGGTGCGAGGACGGCCGCCGGTTAGTTCGTGGGCACGGCGCTCTCCTTTGCTAAATATATTATGACATACCCTGCGCCTCTGTGAGCGGCTCCCTTGACCTTGTGCGGCTCCTCCTCCCTCGCTCTCTGTCCCCCTCTGGAATTTCCCGGAGAGATCACCGAGGTACTGAGATCCCTGATTTTCTTTTATTTACTTTTATTTGTGTGTGTGCTGGAGACGATTTTCTCTGTTGGTGGCTGTGTAGATGTGTTTAACCCGTGTGCCTTTTTAAAATGCATTTTCCTTTCACCCCAGAAAGACAGGACGGACTCCCATGTGAGAATGGCTGTGACTTTGGAACGAGCTCCCTGGCTGGGCTGGACCTTGGTGAAAGCCCTGATGAGGTTTGCCTTCATGGTTGCCAACAACCTGGTTGCAATTTCATCCTACGTCTTCTATGTGATTGTGCTTCAGCCCCTCCGCGTGCTGGACAGTAAGAGCTTCTGGTACATTGAAGGAATCATGTACAAATGGCTCCTAGGCATGGTGGCTTCATGGGGATGGTATGCTGGATATACAGGTAAGAGCGGGAGCCCTTTCGTTTTATGTATGTACTGTTCAGGAGCCATGATTAACTATATGTTATACTTTGGGTGGACGATGTTTTTACGCTTGGACTATTGAAAAATACATAGAAAACAATTCTGAGTTTTTTTCTTTAGAATCCCAATTAATAAGGGTATTTTCAGCAGTATAATTTCATAACTATATGTTGATAAATTCCTTCAATGACATGTTATTTATGTGATTGACAGTTAGTAAAACCGGTCTGCAGAAGCTCTCTTAGAGAAATAGGAGTGAGTGGGTTATATAGTATTTGAAGGCTTATAAAATGAAGAGGTAAGATACTTAGCTCATAAACAGTGGGCTTTTAGAAAAAGGACTGAGCTATATGTGTGTTAAGATAGTTTAATATGTTTTTGTTCATTTAATATAATAATTGTACTGTTAAGATTTTAAGTCAAGCAAAAAAATGACTCTTTTCTCTTACGTACGTTTCTTTTGCTTACTAGAACCTCTGTTTTATCTCATAAATCTATATTAGAAGATTAAATGTAAAGGTTCAGTTTAACATATGTTAAGCTAATTTATCTTCTGAATGCCTTTAAGCACATTTTTCTTTCTGCCTTTACCTTGCATTTCGGGAAGCAGGACCAGTGCTGTTCTGGAGTGGACTTTTAGAGACCTAGAGGAGAAGTAGGGTTTGTTTTCTGTTTTGAGGCCTGGTGTGCTGTGAGAACTTGTGCCTCACTGATGAAAATTCTCCATTGTGTAGTATATTGATTTGACTTTTTTTTCCCCCCTAAGAATTGGGATGATGAAAAAAAGCATTGAGGTTTCTTAGCACTTGTCTCAGACTATTGAGGCTTTTAGATTTTTATGACTGATGGGCTCCTGTAGATGGTGTGGGTCAGTGGAGTGTAGTTCGGAGTTTAGAAGAGTGAGGAAGGTACTCTCAGGCTCAAACAGCACAGCAGTTCCCCATTTTAAATTCTCTGCCTCCCTCTTTCCTGCCCAGGCTGCACCTGCAGATTTTGTCCAGACACGTGAGAAAAGGACTGACAGCACCCAGGTTTTATGGAGTCTGACAGACTCTTGCCAGGTCAGAGTGCTCTCAGTCGCCCCAGATGAGGCCTTTTCTCCTCCTGGCGATGCCATTTATGATACTGGAAACCCCAGAGTCCCTGGGTAGTGTATGCATTGCTTCCTTGTCATATGTTCTGTTTAGATCCTAATGCTTTTTGGGCATAGTTAGTGAGCTTCTAGTCCTTTCATAGGAACTTGTGGTAGCAGTAGGGGCGATAGAGAAAAAATGAAGTTCTCATCTATGGTGTTGAACATTTACCTGAACTGCATTGCTGTTTTAGAATTGCTTTGCTGTATATAGTTTGTGCTTCCCCAGATATCCTATATGGTACGAGTGGCTTTGTTCTCTGTATGGTATACTTCAGTTGCTTTTTTAAAATGAGTTGATAGGGTTTTTAGATGTAAATTCTCGAAGTTCATTCTACTTAAACTCGATGCAATTACTGAAATGCTTGTGCTTGTGTGTGCGGTATATTTGTGTATAAGTGTTAGCATGATGAGAAACTGAAAAAAATTAATTTGGCATTGACCTTGAGATTGTAAGGAGTGCAGCTGTAATGCTGCTTGAAGTTAAAGTTAATTATCCTATGGCCACAGCAGGGCCGCAGTGTATTTTAAGCGTATTTTCTTGGGGTGTCTCTTCCTTGCTGTCTATGGAACTGCATGTTTCTTTGGCCACCTGCTTGGTCTTGACATGATCTGCACATTTTAGTCTCTCTGAAGCATTTGCTGTCTTCAGGCTATTGCATTTTGACCATTTGGTCAGTTTGTCTCATTTAAGAGTAGATTATTTTCGTGTGCTTATTTTAAATGGTTTTTCTATAGGTAGACTACTTTTAGAGGGTCTGGTCATGGTTTGATCATAGCAGAGCATCGTCAAGAGGTCAAACAAATGTAGGAATGACATTCGTTGAAAGCTGCAACTGGGTCTAAAGCAAACATAAGCAGGGATTGATGGGCAGATGTACCCAAAAAAGCATCTAGGACAGTGATTTCCAACCTTTGTCATCTCATGGCACACATAAACTAATTACTAAAATTCTGCAGCACACCAAAAAAAATGTTACTTTTTTTTTTGCCAATCTGATAAAAAAAGATATAATTTTGACTTACTCACATTGGACAGCTATTGTTGTGTTGGCTGTTGTCATTTTTTAAATTTGACAATCTAAGGGAAAAGAAGTCAGTGCCCCTGACTTAATAGTCAGCTATTGCATGTTTTAAAAATTCTTGTGGCACACCAGTGTGCCTGCCCTCGCTCGCACACTGGTTGAAAATCACTAGTCTAGGAGGTCATAATAACCTCTGTAGGAATTTATCTTTCATTTCTTCCTTTTGTATCAAGAGGAGGATGGGTTTAAGTTTTGTTTTTCCCCCTCTGCTGAAATTTCACAGATGGAAAATTGAACCTTGTTAAAGGAATTCTTCTCAGCAGGTCTCGTCTGTTCATGTTTTAGAATAAAAATGGCCAAACTTTGTTGAAAAACCACTTCCGAGGAAACCTTAAATACGAATTAATTAAATATTAATTAGGAAGCTGAAAAGTGAATATTGGTTTAGAGTATCATTTTTTCAAAATGTGGTATTCTGTCTAAGACAAGTCGATTACACGGCTTATGTTGCTTATCAATCCTACACTGCCCTATATGGTAGCTTCTAGACTCTGTGGCTATTTAAATTAAATTAATTAAAATGAAATAAAATTTAGTTTCTCAGTCACACCAACCACATTTCAAGTGCTCTGTACTAGGTGTCTAGTGGCTATTGTATGGGACAGTGCAGATGTATAACATTTCCATCATCACAGAAAGTTTTGTTGGACAGAGTTAATGAATAGTCAGTATGGCTTTCTCCTATTTCTTAGGAAAAATGCATTTTATCTTTATAAAGAATACTTTTCTAAACATAGTTCTAAATAGGTTTCTTTTAGGAAAGGCCCGAAGATTTATTCAAGCTTTTTACAATTATCTTTTAATTTGAGGCAAATGTCACTAAACTGTGTCCTTTAAACTCAGACATGCTTCTTGGATGGGGAATGAAGTTGAATGAACATTTTTTTTTTTTAAATATACTTTTTTAATTGATTTTAGAGAGGAAAGGAGAGAGATAGAGAGATAGAAACATCAATGATGAGAGAGAATCATTGATAGGCTGCCTCCTGCATGTCCCCTACTGGGGATCAAGCCCGCAACCCAGACATATGCCCTTGGCCAGAATTGAACCTGTGACCCTTTAGTCCGCAGGCCAACGCTCTATCCACTGAGCCAAACCGGCTAGGGCTTGAATGAACATTTTTGTATTTCATTTGAGTTCTCAGAGCTGGAGAAGACAAAGAGGACGGAAAGGGGTTTTCTGGCCTTTCTGCTGGTTTCTGACTTTATGTCTTGTTAGGGGAACACAGTTCTTTTTTATTTATTTATTTATATTTATTTTTTATATATTTTTATTACATTTATAGAGGGAGAAAAAGAGAGAGAGAGAGAAACACCAGTGATGAGAGAGAATCCGGGATCGGCCACCCCCACCAGGAATGCAGCCTACAACCCAGGATGTGTCCCTACCACCTGGGTATCACTCTAATCACCTGTGCTTCTAGGCCAGGGCATGGGGGGAAACACAGTTCTTAAAAGATCTCTGAAGATATTGGGGTTTGTTTTGTTCATCTCTAGCTTGAGACGAAGTAGTGATGCTTGTTGGTACTGGATTTCCTTTTGTGGGAAGGGCTGTAGAAATATCTCACGTGGAGGAAAACGTGTATACTGCTTTTGCGCTAATATTTCAAGGGCACACCAAAAGAGGTACTAGCTTAATGAATGATTCATATCTGTGATAAATCAGTACACTTCTCTCCCCTCAACTTAAGTGGACACTGGCAAATTCCAGGGAGAATTTTTAAAAATAAAATGTTTGTTTTGAATCTCATTCACTTATTTTAATAAATTCATTGTTCCCCATCCAAACACATTTAATTAAAGTCTCTTACACAAAATTGTTTAAAAATATTCATTGTAACTGGAAGCACCAGTTATATAGGGTGAGTCTTTTTGGGCCATAGTCAAGCTGAGAGGGAGCTGGGGTTGTCAGGGCACTTGCCACTAAACTATTTTTGCTTAGCAAATGCTGTTTCTCTTAGAGTGGGTATTTACTTGGGTGGTTTTAGGGAAGCTGATGGAGATTAGGTTTAGCTTCCTCCTACTCCCCAAGTGACAGCTGTCATGGTTCTATGTTAGTCTTTGTGGGTTGATTATTTGATTGTGTTTTTTACCGGGATACAAATTCACCCTGTGAGAAAAAAATACTTGGAATTATGTATGACCTTGAAATTCTAGAAAAATGTAGAAAATATATCTTCTAGAGCAGTATTTTTCCACCTTGATTGAGTCATAAACCAATTTAGTGTGTCAAGATGAACATTTTTTAAAAGTAAAATATAATAGAGTTAAATAGAGAAGATCAGAAAAGTTTGTATCTATCTGTACTAGGTAGTGCTACTGAAAGTGTTGTTTTACTGTGAGCCCTGTCAACATATGAAAGGCATTGTTCAAGGGAGAGAACACTGCAGTTTACAACTCTGGGAGTCAGATGTCTTGATCTGGCTTTGACTCACTGGAGATGGGGGGCGGGGGGGCGGGGGAGGCGGCGCGAGATCCTTACCTGCTCTGTGAGCACTGGAGACATGATCTTCTTTATAACCCTGGAGCCCAGTTTGGTGCTCGATGCTCAGAGTGCGCCATAGTGTCTACATATTTCTTGAACGATCCCTTCTTTCTTTCTTGGCCCCAGCTGAGGTGCTTTAGCTGCCTACCTTCCTGAAAGGTCTGATATCCAGGTATTGCAATCCCCAAATATAAATCTGAAACTGCGTCATGTTTTTCACACACATACATATAAATACATATAAATACATATCCTATAATACCGCATTTGCTAACT